TGAATATGCATAATATGAAATTTGAAACGATCGTGTCAAAATAGTAGGTGTAAATGACTAACCTCGGATATAACGACAGGACAAAGCGATCCCGATTCAACATAAGTCGAAATGTTGAGCTCTGAACGTTTTGCACTACCCTTTTTGCTTTTCGGCATTAAAAATTTGCGAACAAAACGAGTGGCTATCTCTAAAGGCTGGGTTAACAGACCACGAGACTTTCGCTGCTTTATTCTCAAATTATCTGTCTGCTGTTTTTTATTATCAACTTCTTGTCGATGTTGCGGATATTGAGCTGAAGGAGATTTACCATCCTTAACAACCGTTTTCTCTCTAAACACATTTTCTTTCAGCTCTAGAGTGTCACCGAGACTCATTTTTCGACCAACAACTAAACCTTCACCTCCATTTCCCAAGGAAGCGACAGTAGTTTCCCAGTTAACAGGCCAGGAGCTCGACCATTCGGAGTCAACAGGCAGGGTGGATTTTACGGACGCTTTTTTTCGAGTCTTTCGAATTCCTGTGGCAAATATTTCATGAGATTTGACTTTATTATCTGAAGGTCGATACAAGTGAGACTGGCGAGAGTAACAAGATAGCTGAGAATGAGGCCCACCGGACCACATAGCAGCACCCCATGAGGTTAGATTGCAGTCTTTTCGCTTTTGCATGTCACAGTATATCTCACTCCTTAAATCTCCATTTGCCCGTGATTTGCACATTTGATTGCTCTCTTCTTCACCACAAGCCAGTTTTAGGGCACCAACAGATACAGCACGCAGCATCCAGACTGAGGAGTATAGGGCTTCCGGATGGCGTCGGCAACCGGAAAAATTAATTCTGGTAGGTCGTCTGGAATTTATTTGGCATCCGGAAGCTCCAAGAGCTGTTGCATTCGGTTGGTCAACGAACAAAACCGGAAAAAAGCTCCACTCGTGGGCCGCCTTCTGTCCCAAAGGCCATTCAGTCTGCCGACTTACTCGGGCACTTCGGGACCTTAGATATGATCGCGCTAGACAACAAGCACCAAGTTCAGGCATATAAATTCTTCGTCTATCCTTGTCACCAGCTCTGTCATCGTTATGACCAACATCATCATCATTATTATCTTCATCATCGAACAATGTACTCAAAGAGACCATACCTGCTGTTCTCCCAGCTTCGCGTTCAACAGGAGCGAAATCTAGGTCAACACCTACATCTGGCAAGGACGTATTGAAAGAGCACGGGTGGTCAAGAGTGGATCCGTCGACGAGTGGGGAATTTGAGGGAGGGTCGTTGGAGGTCGGCTTAGTAAAGCTAGAAATGCATGTATCTAAGCTTTGTTGAATTCTGCCACCTCCATGGCTAGTAAGTTGACTCTGAATTTGGGCATCCGGAAAGGACTCCAAGGTGTGCCGTTTGTGCAAGCTTGGATCTGATGCTCCGATAGACAGGGACAGGGATAGCATAGGTTCTAGCATTCTGAAGCAGAGAAAATGCAAAAACCAACATTTGTATAAGATATAAAAAGTTCATATAAAATTTAACGATCATATTATTTTATAAGGTTGGAATAGGCAAAAACAAAGTTTCTTAGCTATCATAACTAAATGTTTATAGGCCCAAAGGTCATAAGAAAGGGTTTCTACAAACTATATGAGTGGTAAACCAATACAAACAACTCAGTCGTTCAACGATAATATATAAATGCACAAAATATATACTATGGATAATGTCAGTCAGTTACGTAAGCAATTAATATAGGTAGTATAAATATATATTATATTTAAACATAATTAAAAACCTGTAAATGCCCACATAAAGTAATAAAAATGAATCAAATTAGGCGTAGTAATTACAAAGGAGCACATCACACTACGTCGAAATAGGCACGGTAAAAATTGAAAAAAAGGAAAGCGTGATAGGAGGATATAGGAAATGTAAATAGCCCAGGGTAGAAGGGGAGATACCACAATTGTTTAGCACACGTTTTGTCAAAGGATCGGCTTCACTTGCCTCTTTGACTGGTGAGACTCACGATGCAGGCGAAACGTCTGGGAATGCACCACGTCCACGGTCATACTCTGGAAATGATGATGCATACAATGGACCCTGGACAAGGTGCGTTCCTTTATTCTTCTTATCAATATGACCGAGTTGCGAAAAGAAGGTCAAACAACTTCTATACAACGAAAGGAGACTGCGACCACACAAAAGGCAACACCAGCTTGGTCTTCATACCTTAATGCTTGACTGATATATTAAAAGAGATAGGAGGTTGAGCTGCCAACCAAAAGAATGCAACTTAACTTGTCTGCTCGGTGATGGTTTTAACTTCACTCACACTCGTCCAACATGTTAGATTAAGCTTATCAACCAAACCAGACATGCCAGATTACACAGCTCCAAACATGCCTTTCTTTGGTTGGTTAAACGTTATGTGTCCATAGACTGAGAGGTTAGGACAGGTGGTTTCGTAACTTGACTTACACATTTACAAACTTACATCTTAGTATCTCGGTCATACTTGCTTAGGGACTTGCACAATCTCGGTCAGGGCTTTTCTTGGGTAATTAAGCCTTGATTGCCAGAGCATGCCATTAGCCCTTTTAATCACTATGTTTTATCACCGGCATTGCGTATAGACGTCAACACACAGACATTCGGGCAAAAGTAACAGGACTAATACGGAAGATGATTAGTTAAATCATTCTATATCTATCCAGGCTTTTTAATTTTCTTTTGCTTAATTGAGTATTTATAAGACGTAAGATAGAACCGGATAGTCTTCTTGACCTAGTATTAGCGTGAGACTTTTACAAGAATGAGTCCATAATACGATGAACGAAAGCTCATGTTTTCACTCGATATGAGAGAGGAGATTTCGTGTACTGCGTCAAACTGAATATCGTATAAAAGCCAAACAGAGGCAGTAAAACGGGATTTAGCCATCCTCTCCTGGTGAGATCTACTTTCATACGAATTTAAAGTCTCCCTAGCAAAGGTATCTTAGGAGATTCATCAAAACCCAGTTATTCTTCATATCTAAAAGTAATAGTCTTACATTGCCTTTGAATTTAAATTAGTCTTGCTCATTTATCCTGCCTTGCGATTTCGCCCTAGCTCAAATTTATTTAAATTCCTGGCTTTTCTTGCCACCATTTTTACTCGGTCTTTGAGGAATCGTTCTGCTTGAATTGCATATCAAGTTTTAAAATACTGTTATTAGTGTTGATGTGATAAAGATTAAATTAAAACCGAAATACAATCTGGATGGATATGTCCTCGCGGAGTAAAGGATTGAAGTAATTAAGAAAATTGCGTGGCTCACTCGTCTCAGAGATTTACTCAAATAACAAGTTTTTAATCAGCTTAATCGACCTGAGTTAAAAATAATTCTTGTCCTATCACTATAGACTGGAAGGCACTCTTTACAGGGTTTGGCTTTAAATTAATCGTGAATTTTACTGACAGGCGAACCAATCAAATATGGAAACTAAAGAATTGAACCATTGCATATAAAAGGAGAAAAACATACTATCAATAAAATATTGCGTCAGGAATACCAAAAGAATTAATGCATTGATAAGCTTTATCCCACATCACAAAACAGGATCAAAAATGCATTTTATTCGCGCCTTTGGTATTTTACCTAAGACTATTTCAATAGCAAAGTTTTACACTAGATAAAAAGCAATAAAGGGGACAGTAGCATGAAAGGAAAAACTATAAGCAATTCTATTTAGACGCTTAACAACTATGAACGCAG